ATCACGGTGAGGAGGATGGGCCCACTTAAATTCGGCTCCATGCAAAATCTTCGGGATGGACTCGCGGTCGCTGGGCACCAAAGCTCTCGTCCATCTAAGATCTGCCTGGGCGTTGATCCCTTGCTGCAGCAAGCGTCCCCCTGGGTCGAGATCACGCTGTAAAAGCCAGGAGCCGTCGCAGCCCCATAACCTGTGGTGCACAGACCCTTCACGGGCCTTGCACCATCTGCAAAGCGGGTCCAAGCTGTATCGCTGCTTGAACAGATCTTTCTGCGTCCAGAGGCCTCCAGAAACCTGAGCAAAAAGTAGGCAGATCCCAAGATGGTCCCCTCTCTTTCTCTGCTCTGCGATAACGCCTCTGATCGGTTCCAGGAAAGGCTCCCAAGACAGGTCGTAAAACTCGCTAACCTTCTTTAAACTGAGCTGCTCGGTGGTGTCGTCTACGAGGGCCTTGACCGTACGAGGACCCAACTCGCGCAAGTCCAGACGGAGCCCCGACGAAGTGACCCAACTACACCAGGAGGTCCCTGTCCAGCCCAGCCTATTCAGCGTCTGTACCACCGCTCCAGCTGGGCCTATGACTCCACTCCAGCCTCGAGCAGCATCTCTCTTGGCCTTGTCAAAGGCCGTCTGCATCTGTGCCTCCGATGACCACTGCAAAAATATTGCCTTGCACCACGTCATGAGCGGCAAGGCGTTCGCCAGGAACGACGGGTCAACCTGCGGCACCTCTGCCAGCAAAAACTGCACTGCCCTGCACCTTCCTTTGGCTGGGCCAAAAAGCGCAGCTGCCGTCGTGGCACGCTGCTTCTGGAGTGCGGTGTTGGACATCCCCACCACCCCCACCCCATACATCGCAGCAGGCGTACCCCCTCCTCTGAAGATCTGCTGAATCGGTTTTTTCGAGAATCGGAACGCTCGATATCGTCGCACTCTGCCTCGCACAATGGTGATTCTTTTATTCGTCACCTGCCTGCCCTTGTTGAAGGCCAACTTAAAGTCTACGCCCAGGTTCTTGGCCGCGGGCACATACTTGAAACTGAACTCTCTCAAACTGTGCTGCAGAGATCGGCCCACTTTGATGTCGGATGCCACCAGAATGCATTTCTCCCTGGAAACCTTCATCTCCAAGGCCTCCAAACCCCGACAAAACTGCAACGTTCCCGACACCAGTGCTTTCTTCACGAACTGCTCTGACCCCAACGCTTGGATGGTGGAATCGTCGACCATGAGCGCCAACCCAAGACGGGGCCATCTCGACATAAACTCGTCACAAACATCTTTAAGCACTATCTTCAACAGCGTCGTCGCGAACGAGCACCCCGCGACTATGCTGCTGTTGACTGCGAAAGGGAGGGACAGGGCCTCGCCCACCTTGATGCTGCGAGGCCCACCATAAACTAAGAGGAGCACTCGTATGCGTCTGATACTAAATCCATGCCGATGGCACGAACGAAGCAAGAGCTGGTGCGTCACTCTCTCATACGCCTTCTCGAGATCTATCAGCGTGCAGGCACTCAAAAACTTGCTGGCGATAGCCGCCTCGTTGTTAATCGCTTGCCTCCATACCGCCATCTCACAGCTCCGTCCCTTCCCCCCGTACATGTACTCCTTGTGGTTCGCCTCCTCCCATCCCTCCGCCTCCCAATGTCTCAATCTCCCCAGAACGCGCACTGGTGTGGGCAAAATACCAATAGGTCGCCGCCCACCTTCTGGTTTCTGGAGGAAAGGGAGGATGAGCAGCGCGATCTGCTCAGGAAGACAAACGAACTTCTCCCACATGTGCAGCAGGAGACCAAATACACGAAGGCCTTCGTCACTCAGTGACTTCAAAAGTGCAGGCGGCCACCTGCAAGCCCCCACTGCCGTGCGCCTTTTAAACTTCCCAAGAACTCGGCGTAACTCCTGGGGCTCAGGTGGCTCTGGAGGGTCATCCATGGGTAACGACTGCAGAAAATCGGCCTCTGGCTCCTTCAGGTCACCATACCTCCAAATACCCTTCCATTCACTTTCGAGGGCCTCCATCTGGTCCATCGCTCCTCCTGGGGTTCCGTCAGGGCCTGGCTCATCTGGGATCCATTCATTCGGGACCTTCACCCACCTGTGAACCATACTCCCCCCGTTTGACACCGCCTCTGAAGCCCAAGATCTCCACTTCTTTTGACGCTGCCTGACCCAAGACGCCTCCTCAGACTGGATCAGCTTGCTCAAATCAAACAAGGCGTCCCTGATAGAGTCCGCCTCGTATCCTCTGAAACTAAAATGACATGCACGCCACTCCCGCCAGCCTGAAGAGTGCCAGAGTAACTCGGGAGCCTTCTGAAGCTTTCGGTCGATTTCACATACCTGCATGTCATCATCGCCGTATCCCTTACGCTTGAGGTGTCCCAACTCTTCAAGGCGTGTGTGGAACTTCCGCGTCGCTCTAGACACTGGCGACCCAAGAGGATGTGGCCCGCCAACCTTGACAATGGCTGGCTTATACGCGTACTTAAACTTGTCGCCTCTGCCGAAAAAGTTCCCCTTGGAGCCCGACAGCTCCAGCTGGTACGTGTCCGCGAGCTCTAGCTCGGCTGCCTGACAAAATGATGCGTAAGCCTGCGAGACCTGAGCTTGCGTGACTGCTGGTTCACGAACCAGCTGCTCAACCTGAATCTGAATGCCTTCCCACCATCCTGGTGGGGCTGGCGCTGGGCCGATCGGAAGATCAGGGAACCTCTTGGGTGTCCACAAATATCTGATCTGACCCAGATGAGTGCTAGTCCTGATCGACATTCTGATGGGGTAGTGGGTGGACAACTCAGACCCTTCCAATCGATCGCAGCGCCAAACACAGGGCACTAAGCTCGCCGACACAATGAAGAAGTCAATCTCACGCCACTCCTTGCCCACTCTGCACGTAGGCTTGCCAGTCAGAATTATGACCCCGTCGATTTTCTCTAGTAAACCAGTGCCTCTCACCTCGGATTCCAGAGCGTTGAAGTCGCCGCCAATGACGAACGGCTTTCCCATGGAGAACAGAAGCTCCCCAACCTGGAAAAGAATGCGACGGCCCTCGGCACCTACACCATCCCCGCTCGGGAGGTAGACACTGGCAGCGTGGAAACCTCCCGCGACACAACCTCCGACCCAAGCCACGACGGCCCTGGAATGAGGTCGCGGCTCCAAGGGATTGCTGCCCATGCCTACCCCCTTGCGGACGGCCAAACCTACCCCTGCTGATAAACCTTCAGACTGGGTCACATCACAGGTTCCAAAACGAACACTCCATCCTACCTTGGCCAAGGTGTTCGACGCCTGTGCGGTGTCGCCTACCTTGACCTTCGTCTCTTGAAGGAAACAAACCTTCGACTGACATTCGGCCTCTAAAAAAGACTGGCACCGTGGCCAGCTTGTGACGTTAGCTGAGACAAAATCCCAACTCAGGCCGTCAGGAGCCGCACGAGCGCGTCGGTGACCTGCTGCGGTTGCCCCTCTTGCCAGCCTCCTCTCTCTCCTTCTCCATCTGCTCTTTGACTTTGTCCAGCACGGAAGAGACACACTGCTGCGCCCGTTCATCGCCATGGAACTCCGAACGTAGTCCATCTCCCACTCGGGCGAGGGCGTTGTCGGCTCCCTCCATGTGTTCGTCCTGCTGGTCCTCGTCGATCTCGATGTCCGTTGCGTGCCCTCCACTGCCTCGGCCGCGAGCAGCATCAGCACGAGCTGCACGGCGACTCTCAGCACTGGCGGCATTCTCCACTTCACCACGCCTTTCCCGCTTCACCCTCGGCTGACCGCCCCCAGCGGGCCCTGGGCTGCCTGGGGCTGCGCCGCCTGCGGCTGTGGCGGCGGCCGCGGCAGAGGGCACCTTCGCCTCCGCCGCTGCCACCGCCGCCTCCAGCGTCTCGCGCATCGTGTCGAAGGCCTTGCGCAAGCCCTCGCCCGCCTCCCCCTCGGGGAGTGCTCCGACGAAGGCGTCGAGCGCCTGCTGCAGGGGCTGGGCGAGAGACACTGGCGTCGCCGCCCGCCCCTCGCCCGCACCACCCTGCGCGCCCAGCGAGAGCCCGCGGGCCTTCGCGTCCTCGAGCTGCTTCTGGACGGTGTCCAGCTCCTCCTGCGCACCGATGGCGGCCTTGACCGCCTCCTCGGCCTTCGACTGCATGCGCGCCACCTTCTGCTTGAGGTGCACCATCTGCTGGCTGTACTTCCCAATGAGCGTGTTGATCTGCGCGGCCTCCGCCTTGGCCCCAGAGAGGCCATAGTTCTGGAGCGCGCGCTGGAGCATGAGTGAATCCCTCTGGTGTCGTGGGATGGACTGCGAGGCAAGCGCGAACTGCTCCTCCGAGAGATTGAGCCACAAAGACTTCTCCTCGGCCGTGAGCTCACGCTTGGGAGGGGGAGACGCCTTGCCTCCTCCCCCCGCTCCTCCACCGCCACCACCTCCTTTTCCTCTGAAGCCGTTCTCCTTGCCGCCGCCGCCTCCAGGGATGAAGGCTCCGCCGCCTTTACCCCCTTTGCCGCCGCCGCCGAACCCACCCATGCCCCACCACGGATTTCCCCAGGAGAACTGGACCTGCGGGATGGGGCCTTGAGGGTTCCGTCCATTGCAGCCTGCCTGCTTGCAGGTGCCACGGTGCCCGAAGTTGTGGAAGCCACAGGTCCCGCACGTCCACGCCGGCGCCATGGCCGCGTCTCAGCACGAAGGGACCTCGCTCGCAATTCACGGCGGCTCGGGCAGCTCGCCGTGGGTTCGAAGAAAACCTCGGCCTCCTGACGGCCTCGAGAGTGGCCACGGAGTGCCAAGGCTAATCGCTGATTCTCGGGCGTCTATAGCCCTTCACAACGTTTAACCTTGAGCCAAAATGGCTACGGCGCTTGTCTGTCTCTCCTCCTCCTCCTCCTCCTCCTCCTCCTCCGCCTCCGCCTCCTCCTCCTCCTCCTCCTCCTCCTCCTCCTCCTCCTCCTCCTCCTCCTCCTCCTCCTCCCCTCTCTCTCTCTCGGCCTCCACCCGCGCCGAGGGGCCGGCCACGAAGGGCCTCATGGCCTCCGTGGTCACGGCCCTGAGCAGCGAGAACTGCACGCTCGCGGAGCTCGGGCCCGGTCGTCGTCGCTGCCGCCGGCGATAACGAGGAGGCCTCTACACCTTAGGCGATGCTCAAGAAAACCTAAATTTTCGGCCAGAGTCTCGATTATTCTTTATGTTTCAATGTAAATCCTAAGATTTGAATAAACATTTTTTTTTCTTTCCCCCAAGTTCTGAGACTATGAATTTCTTAACCCATGATTTCTTAAGCATTTCGCAGGGTGTACACCGATACCGCTACCGGAGGTTCCTGCCGTCTCGACGAGGCGGCGACCCCAGCGTCGGCGTTCGACGTTGAACGCCGCCAGCGGCCCGGTACGCTCGAAGGAGCGATCGCTCTGTTTCAACGATCCACGCGATGTCAGAATCCAGCGCCGAAGTCGTCAAGACACGACCTTCCCTACCATTTCCCTTGTGCCCACGTCCGGATTCGCCTCGAGATCCTTGTCAGGGCGCACCCTGGGAGAGGCCCGTGGAGTAGAGGTGTCGGCATGTTCCCCTCCTGAAGCCGACGATGGTCGCCTTGAAGGAAAGTGGTTCTCAGGGAAACAGGTCCTAGATAGGGGAACGAATAATGGCATGAATCTATACATTGGGACCTCCGAGTTTTGATGTTTCTGTCATCCTTCGTCGTCCTACTAGATATGTTTAGCCGTTTCGGGGCTCCCAGGGACTGTCCAGCAACGATGTGGGAAGAAGAGCTGGTCCGAGGGGAGAGCCCTGGGCTCCAGGGCCAGGTTCCCCTAAGGATCGGTGTCTTTCCGTCCACAGGGGGCCCTGGAAGGATAGGAGGCAGGAGGCTCCCTCTCCGCCTCCTTCCCGAAGGTTTCTCGGCAGTTGTCGTCGAACTTCGGCCTGATTTCGAATCTACTCGGCTGTTTTATGAGGCTGTTAGAGGGGGAGGAGAGGGAGGAGGAGGAGGAGGAGGAGGAGGAGGAGGAGGAGGAGGA